TACACGAAATTAATTTGGGAGAGATCTCTTTGATTATGAGAATATTGTTTAAAGCTCTATGCATGCTTTTAAAAATGCAATCAGAGTATGCATTATTTCTTGGAAACTTTACAAGTAAAATAAGGACTGCTTAATTAGAAACTGAAGGGAAAAATAAAGAAGGATGAGGAAAGTCTAAGATTCAGTAATCTTATCCTACCTCCTGAAACATCTCAAGCTATAATAAAATTAGTAGATAAGTCTTTTCCTTTGGGTTCCTAATAACTTTCTAGGGGGAGATATTCAAGTCTACAATTGGCGAACCTGCTTGGCAAAAATATGGTTTACAGCAGAATATGGAATATGGAATGATAGCTACAAGTCAGCACAAAGTAACTTGGATTCCTAAGCAAATGCTAATGTAAATTAAAAAATAAGTCAGCAAATTCCTGTATCAAGTCTAAAGTCCATTAGTGTGGTTTACATTTTGTTCTTAAGGTATAGCCTGTCCAAGTCATGTGAGTTCGCTAACTGCCTAAGGTTAGTGATCTCAAAGGAAAACAAAACTAGCTTAGTGAGACCTTTTTAGGGTGGTGGAGGTAGAGTGGATAGAGTGGTGACATAGGGAAATGATGTTTCCTTCGGAAACGCCCCAGGCAAAAAGTGAGAGTGCCATGCCCAAAGTGCCACTGGGTAGCGCCCTGCTATGGGTCTGAAGCCTCAGGAATTCCAGTCGCTGCAAGTCCGAGCCCTCAGGGACCCGTGCTGTGAGGCAGGCACAGGGCCACAGCCTCTGGGTCCAAAGCAGCCCTGAGAGGGCTTGCTTACTGCTGAGTCCACGACCATGAAAGACCGGTCCCCTCCCGCCTGTCGGTCCAAGCCGGTGTCCGGGGGAACCCTCTACTTTGAGGAAGAAAAGCAAGAGTTTTGCCCAGTGCTGCAACCACAAACACAAAGAAAGAGGGAAGGGAGGGAGGGAAACCAATCTTCCTAAAATGCCCTCCTTTTAAAGAGGTATTTTAGGGCCAGGGATTTAGCTCAGTGGTTTTGCCGCCACCGAGTTTGATCCCCGGTACCAAAAAAGAAAAAAAAGAGGTATTTTGTCCCAGTGCTAAGAAAGTAACTAAGACAATTATAAAATAAAATTAACAAGAACTATGGGAAAATGGCCAATCATAATAACAGTTTCCATACACAGTGCTTTCCCTGTACTTCTGTTTCTCTGGATCTAAAACTGTTGCAAAAAGTGTGTAAAAATAAATAAGCACAAACACATACACCAACACAAAACGTAAAAATCTAGCAAGCAAAAGGTCCCGAAGTGCGAAACCCTACAGAACTGTGTGTGGCAGGTGGAAGCGGCTTCTCGGGTGAGACTGGACGTCCCGTTTGCTGAAGTCCTGCTCTCTTGGCAAGACAGGGGAGGCCCAGGGACCCCAAGGGGCAAAGCTGCACCTCCAGGTGACCCCCTCCCGGCACCACCGAGTTCAGCAAACCACACTCATGCTGTCAGGGGAAGGGGAGTCACAGACAGCGGCCACCAGCGTCCTCCGTCGTCCACATCTGCCGCTGCCGCAGCCTGCCGTCGCCGGAGGACGGCTGCCCGAGCCCCGAGTCCGCAACACGTGAAGGCAGAGAGGGGACATTCTGCCACAACCCCCAGATGGCCCCGAACCAACACTGAAACAGAAGCGGGGTGCCGGGCGGACCCAGTGTGCTATTCACAGAACCCACTGAAAAGTAAGAAGAGCGGGCCTCTCGTCTGAAAATCACTCAGAATTTCAGGTCAGCAGCAGCCGAGGAGAAAACCAAGCCCAGAGCCTTGGGGCTCAGACCCTGGGAGACAGGGATGGTGCCGCCCGCCTCAGGAAGTAGATTCCCTGCTGTGGAGTCTCAGGTGCTGAGATGGGATGAGCCCAGCTGACCCTCGCTGCCTTCCTGGAAGCCCTGCCCTCTCCTCCATAGAGGCTGCCCAGGTGACCAGGGTTCTTTCATTGCCATGGTAACTGATACATCCCTGAGTGGATTGTATCTGCGGGGCGCACGTTTGAAAAAGACAAAGGTAAGAAAGAGAGCAGGGCAGAATCACCTCCTCCTCTCCTGTGACTGTAAGCGTTGCTGCAGGAGAGCCTCAGTAACAGAGCACTGCACTGAGTCTTACCTCGCCTTTCTGCAGTGCACGGCCAAGCGGACCCAGTCTCCAACCTCTGTACGTGGACCGTTACACAAACAAGTCTGCTAGGGTTTGGAAAAGTCAGGAACCACAGGCAGAAGCTGTAAGACCCACCACATACCAGGTGGAGGTGTGGCCAGGTGCGTGCAGATTCCTAAGAGAACATGGAGCCCTGGTCCAGGACCGGAGAACTCCCTGCTCCTCCGGATCACCCAGCAGAGGGCAGCGCGTCCCTCTGCCACCTGGAAGAGATTTTCTTTTGCACCTTCCCCTCACCGTGGAAGGTCAGCTGTTGGTGCTCATGCTGGAAAACCCCAGGCAAGATAAATGACATGAGCCCCTCCACTTACAGACCCACACAAGCACAAAGGAAGCGGGTAGCCCAGGGATCCACAACTCCTGCTTTCAAGGCAAGGGATAGAGTGTGCAGCTCACACCAAAATGCAGGCAGCGGCAGGGAGCCATGGGAGGGCAGTGAGCTGCTCATGGGCAGCAGAACCAGGACCAAGAGGAGAAACGGGGGGTTGTTAGCCCTCTATCCCCGCGGAGCAGTATGAGCATCTGATACCCCATAACCGAACCACGACGCTCGCTGGCTGAAGCCTGCAGACCTGCTAAGATCTTCTCTCCTCGCATGGGACCCCAACTCCCAGAAGCCTCCCCTGCACAGGCTGATGACCCGGGGCTGGGTCCCTGAGGCCAGACAGGGCTGCAGCTGTCACTGGGGAGGATGTCTGACCAGCGAGTTGGCTTCCCTTGGCACTTGGGTTACAGATAAGATGCCTGGAATAAAGGCTGTTGGAAAGGTTCCACTCCCCATTCTTGGGGGGACCCTCCTTCCGGTCAGACAGGAGAGGCCGCTCGTACCCCACTGTACTCCACAGCGGAGTCAGCCAGAGCACGCGTGAGGGAGGCCGCAGCTGTGTGCCTGAAGGGCAGTGGCCTAGCGAAGCCAGGGCTGCCCAGCGACTAGAAGAACACATGCCGTCATCGTCAGGAAAACGGACCTGGGCCTTCTGCCTCCTCAGTCAGGCATAAGACTGTCAGTACCCAGGAAGAGAAAAGTTCCTTACATTTGAGAGGCAGCCAAAACAGCATCTTCAATTAAAATCTACTTTCCCAACTCCACTGCTACAATGATAATCTAGAAGAATTAACCTGAAGTGTAGTTCACTTTTCTGTGTTTTGTCTTTGGAAATTCTGCTTCACAGGCTAAAAAATAATGGATGTGCATTTCCTTTGACAACAAAAATAAAATAACCAAGACTTAGTGTTGATGCCATCCCAGAGCCTTGAGGTGGATCACCGCAACAAACCCTTAGCTCACCTAGGACACAGGTGCTGCTGCCACCGAATCACATCTGACGTGGGTGACAGCAGTGGAGCCCAGGCACAGCAGCCCCTGCACCAGGCCCAGCACTGCTGGCCTCCTGAGAGCTCCAGGTGGGAGAGGTGGGGAGCGCCTGGGGCGAGCTGCTCCCAGGTAAGGCAGAAACCTGTGGATCCCACCTGACCTGCTTGAGCTCCTAAGAACCCTGAGGCAGGAACCTGGACCCGGGGATAACGGTAAGGCTGTTGTATCATCCCCAGAAGTTTCTCCTGCAGAGGACAATGCAAATGTGGTAAAATACAGGTGCACAGATGGAAGAGGCATGCAAGATAGGGGTCACCGGAAGCAGCACTACTCATGATGCATGGAATGCACCCGTACACACACACACACACACACACACACACAGTGATGCGCTGTGTAAGGACCAACTGGTGGTCACCAAGGGACTTCATACACAGTGGTGGTCTCACAGGATTACAATGGAGCTAAAGTTTACTGTCTCCTGAACACAGCTGCACATCCCGCTCTGCAGGGGCTGCAATAAATGACAGAAACTCTGGCTTCCAAACTCCAGCTGGGCTCCCTGGAGCCCCCTCTCAGATGGCCAGCCTTCAGCCTCGGGTCAGGCAAGGCACCCAGGCAGCCGTGGGCCCACTGGGGTCCTGCTGGAGAAGACCGTGGCCACCTGGAGGGGCCCCATCACCCCAGGGAGGAGCCTGGCTCCCACAAGCAAGTGAGCAGACTGGTGGGCTTCCCAAGGACCCCCTCCTCACTCTTTGAAATCCTCTCCCTCCCCTGACTCTCCTGAGCCACACCCCATCTCCGGCCCCACTCCTTTGTTTGTCACCCCTGAACACCCCGTCTCCTACACAAAGGGAAGCTCCCAGGGAGCCCCTGTCCCTCACCGAGACCCAGGCAGCTCCCGGCCCCTCCAGTGCTGGTTGGTGTCTCTGTCTGTACACTGAGCCCAGGTGTCTCATGAGCTCTGGAAACGATGCAGACAGCAACTCTCACCTTCCTAAGTTCGATGGCCTTGGAGAAGCGCATTCTGCCTTGTGCTTTTGAGTCGCATTTCAGCAAGCTGGGCCTCACCTGCCAGGCCCTGGGGTCTTTACAATCAACACGAATCCTATGCCCCAGTGTGCAGTTTGGCGCATTGGGAGTTGCAGGTGACATTCGTTTTGTCCTACGCATGTTATGTCATGATTTCCTCCACCCTCAGAGACGGGTCCCTTGTACAGACAAGGACAGTGAGGCCCCAACAGATCAAACTTTCACATAGGCAGAGCTAGTGGAGGAACTGTCCACTCACAGAGGCAAGAATCTCCAGATCACATTGTGCCCAAACATTCATTTTTAGACTCTGTGTTTAGGCAGTGCTTGCCTTGTTTGCGTCTGTTGCTCTGGTCAGATACTGGGAGTTGGTGCTTATCCTCCAACCTCAGGGCTGGCTATCCACATACTGAATGTACCTGCAAACTGTGAACCTGCTAAGGTGCTCACGGCGCCGGTTACCTGGGAGGACAGGCTGACACTCTGCAGGACACCAGTGCTGGGGCAGGGCGGCTCTTGGGGTTGCAGAAGGAGGCATTCACTTGCAAGCTCAGGTCTCTGTAGCAGCCTGCCTTCGTGATCAGATGCCCTGTCCAGGGAGAGAGGCATGACACACATTCACAACTGAGTCCTGTGTGGAAAGGCAGACAAAGGGCGGAAAACTCCTCAAAAAGATCTTGAGCATATTTGCACGTCTCTTGCATGTTTGATTGGCCTTTTTTGACCTCTTTGAGACAGGGTCTCATATGTAGTTGAGGCTGGCCTCGAACTCACTATGTAGCCCATACCCATCTTGAACTCACAGCAATCCTGCCTCAACCTGCTGAGTTCTGGGGTCCCAGGCATGCGCCACCAAGCCCCACCTGGCCAATTACTGATATTCTACTTTTCTGACTTGTCTTCCTGTTTTTAACTGGTGAATTCCATCAGTTCTTGAATGCACACATTTCTGCCTACATTTTAACAGCATTCAAAGGATGCTACTGTATAGCTGATGAAATAAACCAACACACCAGCTCTTTCCCATTCCTGGGAACACTAGACATTTTTAAAAAGTAGCTCCAATACTAAATATAACTGTCTCATACATCATTTGAGAGTTGAAAAAAGGAAACAATTAGCAATAAAGCAGCAAGAAGCAAAATCAACAAAATGACAACAAATTCATTGCCAAGGACTTCATAGTTCTAAATACTGTCAAGGTCATAATCTGAATGTTCCACTTAGGAGTTGTATCAGATGAACTCAGTGGAAACGAAGACTGCTCGATTCTCAGGCTCTCTATACAATTGGGCTGCTATTTAAAGCTTCATGAATGTCCCTTAATTTCTTTGATACATCCATCCATGAAATTTACCCCAGAGAACTATTACGTGGGGTGCAGGAATCAACTCCACAGAGACAGAAAGCAGATTAACCATTTGCCAGGGGCAGGGAGGAGGGTGTTGAGGGGTGGGATGTGAAGTTATTGCTTGACAAATATGAGAGTCTGAGAAGGTGAAACAGTTCTGGAGACGGGTGCAGGTGATGATTGTATAACGACGCAAATGAACTTAGTGCCACTGAACTACACACTTACAAGTGGTACAGTAGTAAATTTCATGTTGCGTATATTTTGCCATGATATAAAAATGCTAACCCAGATATACAGTATGAAGGAAGAGGAGAGTTCTTTCAATAGTGAGGAAAGAAATGTGGAGGAAAAGAACCAAACAAGTGCTCCCTGTAGTGGGCCAAATCAAGCAGGTTAAGATACAGAGAGGACTTTGTTGCAGTGCTTGAGAAGACAGACACACGAGTCCTCAGCTTGCAGGGAAAATTGCCCCCCACCCCCAGCCCACAGCTGGGCCAGGTGGGGCTCCGGGGACCCTGCCACTGTGCCACCAGCTCCAGTCCCTCCCAGGCAGCCCCAGAGCTTGCTCTCGAGGGCACGAATGAAGAGATGGCTTTAGAGGAGCCGTCAGCTCAGTGATCCCCAATACTCCGTTCCACGGGGAGGCAAGTCCCGCTAAGAGAGAACTAAGTCTAAAGTACACGCTGGCATCAAGTTTGGCAGCTGGCGATGCTTTGCTGAAAAGGAATGAGGTTATTCAGGGGCGATGTCATGCTGTTTAGAAAACCAGCTTTCATTATGGACTGCAACCATGGACAGTACTAAGGAACATAAAAATTAGGTTAAATTAGGAGCCACACAAAAACGGCTCTCCTGAGTTCAGAGCCAGGAGCTCAGTTCCTGAGTTCAATCCCAAATCACAACTTCCTGGCTCTGCTGAAGGCAGAAAGTGCTTACCGAGGACCCTTGCAGTTCTGTGAATTACACCTTCTTTGCCGACTTGAGGGGACAATACACCGCACTAGGGGTTTCCAGTTGTTGCTGCTCCAACTTGAATTTTGGAATTATCTCTCCCTGATTTTAGAGGTCTCAGATCAGGAATGGTTTATTTTAAAACACAACTATGACAAAGGTCACAAAACACTCTGTAGAAGTGTAAGAAAAGCTATTTGACAAAGTGAGTCTGTTGAAAGAGAGCATCTCCATGAGAGCACAGGAATTAGATCGGGTAGAACGCCTCTGAGCTAGCAATGGAACATATCCTGCACCCCACAAGGCAGCAGGAAGACAGTGAAAGTGAACCTAACCGCCCTGGTTAGCTGTGACCCCAGCAGCTGCTCTAACAGCTGGATTTAGAGAGCCAAGGACGGGTGCGGCGAGGGCCCTGGGCAGTGTCCGGCCCAGCCTGGGAGCTCCGCATGTGGGGTGTCACAGTTCTGGGGCTGCGACCTCACCTCTGCAGACCTGGCAGGTGACGTACCCCCAGAGCCCAGGAGGCCCCAGGGTCCCCGCAGGACAGCCTGGGCTGAAAGGGGTGAAGCCCGTGGGGTGGGCAGGGGGACTAAGGAAGTGCGGTGACCCAGGCTCGGTGAGAGGAAGTAACATCCGGAAGTTGGTCCCTCTCCTGGCCAAGGACCCGAGAGGCTGAGGGACTCCCATGTGGCACAGCAGGGGGACAGGCAGGAGGGCACTGGGACACCCTGAGTGCCCAAGTCCTTCACAACGACCTGCCCTCTCGGAGGGGAAACGCAGGGTTCTCTTCTAGACTGGCCTACATTTTCCTGGATGCTTTTTTAAATTTTGAAACAAGGTCTCACTAAATCCTTGAGCTGCCCAAGCTGGGCATGAACTTGAGATTCTCCTGCCTCGGCCTGTGAGAGTGCTGGAATTATAGAGATGCATGCACCACTCCACTTCCGCTGAATATCCTAACAGGAATTTTCCCTTTTTACACACATGTGCACATACACACAGAGAGCTCACACATGCACATGCAGACATTCCTAACACTCCCAGATTAAAAGCTTGCTTTTCCTGGTTTAACCTCTGGCCTCTGGACCCTGTCCTTCCTCTCGTGGTGCCGCTGGGCCCTGTCCCGAGTCCCTTTCTCTGTCCTGTTCACCTGTGGTCAGTCGTCCCTTGCCACGCCTCTGGGCCAACCTGGCCATCTTCTCAGCCCCCAACTTGAGCCCAGCTCTTTGTTTTCTGCATTCCTTTGCTCACCAGTCGTCAGACCTGCACATGCCCAGCCCCACCGAGTCTCTGACCCGGCAGGTGGCACAGACAGAAATTCTCTTCCTAACAAATGTGTGGGTGTCGCCCTGGCTGCTGGGTCAGGGACCACCCCTTGCAAAATTAGCAGCCACTATGTTTCTGTCTCAGTTTACCCAGATGTGAAATAGTATACACACCTCCTAAAACCCTGAGAGTCGAGAGAACCTTTTCGTGGAATGAGGTGATGGTGGCTCCACTGCTTCAGGAAAACAGCCTGGCACTAGAAAGCCTGAGGCTCAACCTGGCTCCTCCCCACAGCCTCCAGAGGGGAGAGGGAGGAGACAGAGATGCTACCTGGCAGCCCATGCTGCACTAGTCCTGCTGCATGGTGGGACCTCTGTATAGGCTCCTGCGCCAGGCGCCAGAGCTCTCCTGCCCAGGGGGTGGCCCATCCCGCCCCACGCCCCGCAGGATCAGGAGCCTCAGCTGCCTGCTCAGCTGGCCATGTATTTTGCCCTTTTTAATAAACCTGGGAGAGTAAATGCTGGTCTCCTGAATCTCATGAGCAACTTTGCAAACTTCTGGATCCTGAGGTGACAGTGGTAAGGCTCTGGCTCAGTAGCTGCAGCAGACAGAAGTGTGACTACCCTGATACGGCCGCGCATGCTCGAAGAGCTCATGCTGAAATGGAAGCCCTGTGTCTATGGTGGAAAGCTACTCTGACGGTATTGTCTGAGAGCGGGAACTTTGAGGGTTACGAGGCTCAATGAGGCCGTGGTTGGGGTCTGGTAAGAAAAGGAGGCACAAGCTGGGGACCCCACACTTATAACTGGCATCTGCAGCACGGACAGCCTGTGGGACGGAGCCTTCAGCCTGGGGCGCCTGAGGCTGAAACAGACTGAACTGTAGGGCACCCAGCTGGTGACCAGGGAGATGGAGAACCGGTTGGCAGGGTGGGAAACTCCCGGTGTCAGAAGAGGTGCAAGTAAAACATTTGACATCACCTGAGCTTGGGTTGGTCCCTTTGTCCTGGCAAAATGACAAGAGGAACATCTTCCTCTCTTGAAGCGTGCCCACGGGGCAAAGCACCATCACGGTTACCTGAAGTCTGCTTAACATACATGTGGCATCCATGGAAACCCATTTCTGGAGGGCAGAGAGCTATGTTACTCATTTCTGGAATTTTGGTAGCTCGAATGGATTAATTTGCTCTCTTGGTTCTACATTGTGAGCCACTGGCCAATTCTTTTACCTGTTCACACAAATGAAAAGGAGTTAACTAACACTTAGCCAAAAGCTCATCAGGGCAGGGGTGTGATCTTTCTTTTATACATGACTGAGGATGAAGTGGGCATCCATCCTGGGCCACACCTGTGCATGACACTGAGATGCTGCTGTTGGAATTGTGTACATGAACTCACTTTTCTCCTCGCTAACTGGACCGAGAGACTATTAGCAAAAGAAACAAATGTCTGTTCCTAATTGTTCTGCAGAGAGGCTTATGGGCTCCCTTAAGTTAATAAACATAAGGACTCAACTTCAATGAGGGACACAGCAAGGAACTGTACAATTTTCTAAAGTGGTTGAGGGTTGCACAATGGATGCACAAGAAAAATGTATCTTCTCCTCTACTTAGATTTCAAATTCAGTCCATTTTAAAAATTCTTTAACCAGATTATGGCAGAGTTTTCAGAGGTGTAATTCTATAAATGATGGCTTCAGTTTGGTTTTCAATTTGAAATTTAAAGCATATGAAATTAAAATCTCCTGTTCAAGTTAACAGAGGGTGACTTGGTGACTCCCGATGGCTCTGTGCAAGGCCAGCCTCTCAGCAAAGGGGAAACTCACTCTGCCTGGAAACAGAAGCACAAGTTGACTTTATTAATGTGCTGTTTTTCTCTTTTTGGAGACTTTTGATTGGCTCTCCCCTTTGGCCTGCCTTCGTGTCAGCCAAACCCTAGATCCAAAACTTTTATTTGTCAATCAGCTAGGGGGGAAATCCAGATTTAGTAATTGACATGGCAATTAAGGAGCAGTGTCTA